GGGGGGGGCAGAGGGGGAGGGGAGTGTGAATTCTCTGGGAGGGAGCAGGAGGGAGAGAGGAGCAGAACCTGACCGTCCTGCCAAAGGCTGGCGGCGTCTGGTCCCCCCGCAGGATAACGCCGGCCACGGAAGCATGGCTTTCAGAGCTGCGCTCTTTCAGAACTTAGGCTTGCAGAGCATGCCTTGGAAAAAGGCGAAGCCAAAAGGAGTGATGGAAAGCAAGCTTGGGCCAGAGTTTCCAAGAGGGTTTCACTTAACCTTCACCCCGTCCCCCAGCCCCATCAGGCCGCAGGCCGCAGGCAGGTGAGATGCAGGACAGGTCTGGGATAGGCCAAGAGGAGTTTCTTCTTTTCACTGCCCAGGTGTTAATGTGCCCTTGTAAGTAATGTGAGGGTGGTGCAAATAATTCACATGATGTCGCCATCTGTCCTCTTTTTTAATGTCTTGAGGGGAGTGAAAACCTAATTATTTTTCCCCTAGAGATGCGTGAGGACCAGCCCAGGTGGTGGTGGGAGAGGGAGCTGATGCTGGGAATGCCTGCTCGGGTGGGAGCATGGACAGGCTGGCTCGAAACTATTTCGTGTTTCGTTTTTAGAACAGTTCTTACGGGCTAGTGTTATCGCCCTAATTACCGCGCAGAAGTCTTACAGGGTATGTGCTTATTTACATCAGCTGGTTTTGAAAAAGCTGTTCAATCGACTTGCGTACTGGAAAATCAAGTTCTCGTTTTTTGGGGATGGCTGGGAGCAACTCTCCTTGTGACACCCTCCCCTCTCTTGCCCTCAATAAGAGGTTTAGGGTGTGATTAAAGAGTTAGTAACATTTAAACAGTATTTCCAGTGAGTAATAAGAGGGAATGATAAAGGAAGAGAAATTAAACTGTTATCTTTAGTGTCCCACATCTGGGCTCAGTTTACCAATTGTCAGGCAACTCAGTACATTGTGAACATCTCTTATATTATTTGCTTACAACTTCCAGAACAACGTTGCCCCGAAATGGCTTATTCTTAGGTGCCTTCTAAGAATTAGCTGGCTTGACTGAATAAGGTTCGTTTCCCATGAACCATGACCCAGAAGTTGAAGTCCTACTCTTGCTCTTATGGAAAAATCTTAGAAGTGATCAGGTCGAACAGTTCTTTGCTTTGCAGTTATTTCACACAGCAGAGTGACTTATTACAGTCTAGAAAAGGGCAGCAATAATAACAACAGCTAATATCTATATGGCACTTTACAGCATGTACATTTTCTCATTAACTCCATAACTTCAACTTCCATTCATTCATTGAATAATGAATAGAAAAATTTTACTTATAAGCATTCTTGTCGTCATATCTTTCAGAGAAATGGCACCATACGTCATTCTGCAAATTAATGTAGTCAAGTGTTTATTTTGCAGCTGCTTGTGTCTTGCACTGTACTAGAAATGAGGGAGATGAATTGGAATGGGTACTGGTCCTCAAGGGACTTACAGCCTGGCAAGGGGACTAAGACATGTACATAAGGAACTGCATACAAGGTAGAAAGTGACAGGAAGAGAATGGGACTGAGTGGCAAGTCAGGAAGAGCTGCTTGGAGGAGGGGACGTGGAGCTGGCCTCTGCAGGATAGGCAGGATTTGGAAATGTAGGTATGTGGGGGATATTGGGTGGAGGGACATTTAGGCAGCAGGAACCTCATAAAACAGCCAGGATATTGTTAGATGTCCTGTTAATTGCTATGGAATTGGAATGTCCGGTGCAAATTTATAAACCGAAACCACCCATGAAACAGCTCCATAGCAGAGGCAACTGCTCACCTAGGCAACAGGTATGTTTTTACAGTAATCTGTAGGTAATTGGTTTGTGACCCATCAAAGAAATTTCATCGCTGGTGGAAAGATGAGGCTAGAAAGAAGGAGGGGGTGCCTAGGAGTGGCATGGAGATTGGTACATTGTGTAGGAGGGGCTTTAGGAAGATTTAAAATCATGGGATGGGTCAGGGATGTTCATTACAGCACAACTAATACCTAACAGTAAAGTATTCGAAATAATCCAAATGTCTGACTATAGGGAAATGGTTAAGTTTTGATAGAGCTGTGAGTGCAATATTGTAAAGCCTTTTAGTTTTTTGACATAAGATACTGCGGCCTGATTATTTTTAAGTAGGATACAGTACCCTGTTAGGACAGATGTGTCCTGACACTTCCCGTCCCCTTCATCTGACAGCCCTGAGCCCCCCACTCCCCTGGCCCATAGTATATAAAAATCTGCATAGGGAAAATGACTAGAAAGAAAATACTGCATTTGTCTTATTAAGTTAAATATATATTGAGTCCTTCCTATTTGTCAGACACTGTGTAAGTGCTAGGAATATAGTGGGGAGAGAAAATAGAGTTGGTATTTTTAATGAAGTTTATGGGGCGGTGATAGGAGAAATGGTTGTGAGTTAAATAATCACACCAATCAGTCCCTGGCTGTTTGCCCCTGTGAGTGCCATAGACTGAAGGATAAAGGATGCACTGCTGAAAAGTGGGTGGAGGACATGCCGGGGAGTCCGGGAAGGCTTTCCTGAGGAAGCAGTGTTTGAGCTGAGATGTGATGGGTGAGTAGGTGCCAGCTAGATGAACAGAGGGCAGGAGAGCCTCCCTGCCGGGGACATAGGATGTGCAGAGGCCCATTGTGCTGTTGGCGCGAGAGCGTGGATCTGAAAGACCGCCAGGATGGCTGAGCTGTAGATGGTGAGGGGCAGAAAAGCTGTGCTCTTCAGGATTTCCATGCAATCATATATTACTTTATAATAAACAGTCACTGACAATATCACAAGACGTATGCAGGTGACCATTCTTTGCATCTCTTGTAGAGCTGGTCATGCAGAGGAGGTATGCAGTAAGGAAATAAGATTCGCTTAGCATTGGACTCAAAGGCAGACTAAGGTTTATTATTTTTTTTAGTATTTTTCTTTTTTAATTTCAGTTGACATTCAATATTTTATATTAGTTTCAGCTGTACAGCATAGTGGTTAGACATTTATATAATTTACAAAGTGATCTTCCCCAGTAATTCCAGTACCCACCTGGCACCATACATAGTTATTACAATATTACTGACTGTATTGCCTATGTTCGACTTTATATCCCTGTGACTATTTTGTAACTACCAATCTGTATTTGTCAATCCCTTCACCTTTTCCCCCAACCCCCCTCCCAGCTGACAACCATCAGTTTGTTCTCTGTATCTATGAGTCTGTTTCTGTTTTGCTTGTTTGTTTATATTTTAATTTAATTTTAATTTTTTTATATATTGTTTTTTAGATTCCACATATAAGTGAAATCATTTGGCATTTGTCTTCCTCTGCCTGACTTATTTCACTTAGCATAATATCCTCTAGGTCCATCCATGCTGTCACAAATGGGAAGATATCATGCTTTTCTATGGCTGAGTAATACTCCATTGTATACATGTACGACATCGTTATCCACTCGTCTATTGATGGGCACTTGGGACTCATGTATTATTTATTAGCTAGATTTATAGGGCTCTTTCCCTCTGCGAACTCCGGAAAATAGTATAGGTATGCAGTGTATATACAGGATGTCCCCCCAAAACGTATACACACTTTAACAGCTGATTCTATTACATTTTGAAAATGAAATATATTTTAATAAACTGCCTTTGTAAGTATTCAAAACGTGTATACATTTTTTTGGGACAACCTGTATAGTTCAGTGCTGAGTACAACAGTGGCAGCAGCCCTGCTGATGGTACCATCTTCTGTGTTTGCACTCATCCCGTCCATGAAGTCTGAGGTGAAAAAGCGACAGTAGCTAAAAATCTAGTTCTTATATTGGTTTTTAGAGCCCATCATAATGATTTTAATTGAACTTCCCACAGAAGGGAAATGCCAAGTGCTAAGGAGACGTTTCTTATTTTTGCTTTTAGGTCACGGGGGGCTCCAGTGGAATTGGAAAGTGCATTGCTATCGAGTGCTACAAACAAGGTGCATTTATAACTCTGGTTGCACGAAATGAGGTAAGTCTTCTAGGCATGTTATTACTAACTCACTCAATTTTCAATTAGTCAGATATCCTGGTGTGATACCTGGCTGGAAATCTCTGGTTTGAGGTTTGCTTCCTGAACCACTGGTTGTTTCTCATATTCTGGGCAATTTCTTGGTCGAAGTCAGATCAGCTCCACAAATATTTATTTAGTGCCAGCAACAATTAGGCAATATCATAGAGGCTGCTGATCTTGGGATGGGAGAAGCCAAGAGGAAGTTAAGCAGCACACTTGGCCGTGGGAAGCCCTGGAGGGCCTTCCACCCACCAGAGGTGCCAGCAGAAGCGATGGTGGAGCTGATATCTGAGTCCTGAAGGATGCGTGGATATTTCTAATTTGCTTATGACATGATGCACATCTCTAGTGAAACCCTGACCCACTGAGGAATCTCAGTCCTCCCCAGCAGTTGAGCAAACCGTGCTTTTCAGTTCATACTTTTTATTTTAATTTTTTTTATAGATGTCCCCTCTTTCCCCCCATAGATCTTTTCCACTCCGAATCCACCCTACCCCCGGCCTTCCCCATACCAATGTCTGTGTCAATGGGTTATGCTTATAGACATGTAAGTTCTTTGATTAATCTCTCCCTACCTGCTTCCCCACCCCCACCTTCCCTCTGAGATCCCTCAGTCAGTTCCATGCTTCTATGTCTCTGGATCTATTTTGTTCCTCAGTTTATTTTGTTTATTACATTCCACATATGAGTGAGATCATGTGGTACTTTTCTTTCTCTGACTGACTTATTTCGCTAAGCATAATATTCTCCAGTTCCCTACATGCTGTCCCAAAGGATAAGAGATCCTTCTTTTTTACAGCTGCATAGTATTCCATGAAATAAATGTACCACAGCTTTTTTGTCCACTCATCTACTGATATGCACTTGAGAAGAATGTCTATTCTGCAGCTTTGGGGTGAAATGTTCTGTAAATGTCAATTAAATCCATCTGATCTAGTGTACCATTTAGGGTCACTGTTTCCTTGTTTGATTTTTTGTTTGGAAGATCTATCCAGTGAAATCAGTGGGATGTTTAAAGTCTTCTAGTATGACTATTGCTGTCAATCTCTCCCTTAAAGTCCTCCAGAAGTTTTTTTATAAATTTAGGTGTTCCTATATTGAGTGCATATATGTTTATCAGGGTTATATCCTCTTGTTGGATCAATCCCTTTAGTATTATGTAATGACCTTTCTTGTCTCTTGTTATGGTCTTCATTTTGAAGTCTATTTTGTTCAGTATGAGTATTGCTACCCCAGGTTTTTTTCATTTCCATTTGCATGGAAAGTTTTTTTTCCATCCCTTCACTCTCATCCTGTGTGAGTCTTTTGTTTTGAAGTGGGTCTCTTGTAGACAGCATATATTTGGGTCATGTTTTCTTATCCAGTGAGCCACCCTATGCCTTTTTATTGGAGCATTTAATCCCTTTACACTTAAGGTTATTATTGATAGGTACTTATCTATTGCCATTTTAATTTTTTATGCCTATGTTTCTCTCTCTCTCAGTTTCTACTTCTAATTATAGCAGTTCCTTTAACATTTCCTGCAATGCTGGCTTGGTGGTGATAAACTCCTTTAGCGTTTTTTTTTGTCTGGGAAAATCTTTATTTCACCATCTATCTTGAATGGTAGTCTTGCTGGATAGAGTATTCTTGGTTTCAGATCCTTGTTTTGCATTACCTTGAATACTTCATGCCATTCCCTTCTGGCCTGTAGAGTTTCTGATGAGAAGTCAGCTGACAGCCTTATGGGAGCTCCTTTGTAGGTAACAGATTGCTTTTCTCTAGCTGCCTTTAAGATTCTGTCTTTGTCTTGAGTGCTTGGCATTTTAATTATGATGTGTCTGTGCGTGGGCCTCTTTGGATTCTTCTTGCTTGGGACTTTTTGTGCCTCCTGAACTTGTGTGACTTTTTCCTTCACCAGGTTAAGGAAGTTTTCTGCCATTATTTCTTCAAACAAATTCTCTATCCCTTGCTTATTCTTCTCCCCTTCTGGCATTCCTGTGATGCAAATACTGTTACATTTTATGTTGTCTCACAGGTCCCTTAGACTGTTCTCCTGTTTTTTAATTGTTTTTTCTTTTTGGACCTTTGAGTGAGTGATTTGTTTCTACCCTGTCTTCTAATTCATTGATCCGATCTTCAGCTTCCTCTAATCTGCTGTTTATTCCTTCCAGTGTATTCTTTATTTTGGCTATGTCATTCTTAATTTCCTTCATAGTTCCCATATCTTTTTTCATGCTGTTGAGCATCCTTACAGTCAGTATTCTGAACTCTTACGTCTGATAGAGTGCTTATTTCCATTTCATTTAGCTCTTTTTCTGGAAACTTATCTTGTATTTTCATTTGGGGCTTATTTTTTTGTATCCTCGTTTTGGTTGCCTGTGTGGGTTTGTTTCTATGTATTAGGTAGATCTGCTAGGACTCTCAGTCTTTTTGGAGGGTCTGTGGTGCAGGCCAATGTCAGATGCAGTTTGTGACTGGTCCTGAATACCCTGTTTGGAGCTATCAGTTACCCTCGGCTTGAGGTCCCCTCTGTTGGGGCTGGGTGCAATTGGACAGGACCAAGATGCACACCACAGTCTGCTTTTCCAAGGCCTGGGTCCAGAAGCAGGTCAGGCAGAGACTCAAAACACTCTGAAGTCTGCCTCTTCCTATAGGCTGATTAATCTGATTCTCTTAACGAGCCTCAGGCTGTAGAAACTCCAATGGGTAGGGTGAGAGGTTTTCCATCAGGGTAGGGCAATTGCTTCCCCCTGAGGCAAAAGCTGCTTGAAAGATAAATGTCTTCTAGTGAAAGAAGTCCTCTGCTGTATGGGGGAATGATTCAGCACAGGAATCTAGAGAGGTGACTTCTGAGCTCTATCTCCAGAGCCTACGCAACCCTAGATTCTCCTCACACAGCTCCAGTGCACTCTGCCCTCCCTCTGCTGGAGCCCAAGCTGAGTGGCTGCACATGAAACTTTGTGTGTTGGCCCTTTAAGAGGCTGCCTGCATTTCCAGCTGTCTCTCCCTGGCAGACAGAAACCAGGCTGCTTTTCACAGCCAGATGTTATTTGAGCACCTTTCTCAGTTCTGGTGCTCTTGGCTGGGAAGCCTATCCTGGGGTTTAGACCCCGGAGTCCTCATTGGGAACCCCCCACAGCTGAGATATCCCCCTAAACCTTCAGCTGTGGCCTGTGGGAGCCCAGCCAGCCCTCTGGTGCCTCCGCACTTCCAGTCTCTATGTGGTCTCCACTTTCCCTCCTTGGTTATGAGGGTGCTCTCCAGCTAGTCTTCCCCAGCTACAGTTGGTTATTTAGGATGGTTTTTCTATATTTTAGTTGTAATTCCAGTTTGGTCCCGGGAGAGTGTCAGTGTAGCCATCTTTAATCTCCCGTTTCTCTTTTAATTCATGGTCTGTTGTTCTTTCTCAAGTTGCTTCCATGCCCCATGAAGCAGTGACACTATTGTGGCATCCAGTCCTCTTGCTCCCTGGGGCGGGGGAAGTGACCAGGGTTGTATTGTCCACTGTGATTGTTCTGAGGCTGGCATAGTTGGCTCAGCAGGCTCTCAGACTTCCTTGTTGAATGAAGATGTGAAGGAGGTGATGGAGGGAATGGGAACAACAGAGTGGCATCCGTTCCTGGGGACTGGGATGTCCCTGTGCAAAAGGAGGGCAGGAGTATGGTGACTGCTCAGGTAGGGGGTGCACAAGTGAGCAGGCCTCAGTGGAAATGGCTGGCCATGGGGGGCACTGGGGAAACATTCAAACAGTGACAGAATTAGGCTTGGGCATCCATAATCTCTTTAAAATCAAGAAAGGCAGAAGTAGCTACCTTTTATGTATGTGCTGACTTCTCTAACAGAGAATTTGCTTTGGCATTGACGCTGCCTTACAGGAATGGAAGCATAACTGTAATAAAGGCGTTTTGTGAGGTTTAAACAATGCCTGTGTTTGACATGAGGCAGACGAAAAGGAGGCAGGGAGGCCCGTGTTCCGAGTGCTCAGAAGGCCATTGTGTGGTCCTTGCGTGGATGGAGGTGAAAGAGCAGATGTGCCTTCTGGCCTCTAGAAGTCCTTTACTTTTCTGATGTAATTTTTTGTTCTGATTTTCGCAAAGTCGAGTTGTGTATATCTTTGTTCATAAAACAATATTATTTTATTATAGACACATTGATGTTTAGAAAACAGTTGTGTCTTTCCATAGGTTCACTTTCTTTTTTGTGCTTTTCTGCTGTTGTGATGTATCTGAATTACATCTTTTATAGCAAATTAAGACATTGTAGTCTGATGTTTGTCTTCTTGAAAATGAGTGAAACAAGTGAAATTGAGACGTTGGAAGAATTACTGTTATATGGACAACTTTGCTTGTCTGTGAGGAGTATTTTTGAGAGTAGCCAGGCATAGATTTATCCAGTCCATCTGAAAAGTGATTTTTACTATGTTTGCTTTTATAGCAGAGGAGGGAAATATTATTGGGCGATCTCTCGACATGGAATCATATGCATTCCTAATTGCATATCCACATGGCTGTTCCTGTTTTATATCAACTAAATAATGTCAAATCAAAACATTGATTCGAACTGATAAGATGACCATCAGCAATTAATATTACTCTTAATTGGGATTTTGAAGTTCATTTATTTTTCTATTATCTTTCTATGCAATGAATTTAAGAACTTGCTTTACTTAACCATAGCTTAACGTACTCTGCAGCTGCTTTCTTTCGTCAGCGGTGGCCCATCGCTGCACAACATAGGTGCTGTCTTGTGTGTTTCCTAGAATTTGATAAGTACTTACACAAAGCATTAGTTTTTCTCTCCTTTTGAACAAACAAGCAAATAGACAGTCGCCAGAACTAATTGTTCTTTCTTGCTTTCAGGACAGGCTGGTGCAGGCAAAGAAAGAAATTGAAAAGCACTCCATTAATGATAAACAGGTAAACTTACTGTCTGCCGGATGCCTTTTCTGTACAACCAACACAGATGCATAAAGGGGAAAAAAGGGCTACTTCAACTGAGTAGTTTATTGAAAGATGTAAGAGTTTCCTCATTAAAATTCAGATTAGACTGTTGTGAAAAAGGTGAAACTGTTTGAATTGTTTAGAATTTCAGATTATGACAAAAACATATCGTATAGACTCTGACACACATACACACACAGAGACGATTAAATAACAAAATGCTTTACTAGAAAATGATTTTATTTCAATTATTTATTTAAATCAACTTTATACCAACACTTAAGGGGAAAGGGGCATTTAAAAATATCTTTGGGTTGTAGAATTGTTTGATAGGTAAAATGGTGTGTGTGTGTTTGTATATATATGTATACATATATATAAAACGTATATTTTAGTGTAGAATATAGTAACACAATAACCATACCCTCATCACCCAGCTTAAGAAATGGAATTTTCCAGGGCCCCGAAGCCCCTCTGTGAGCCCCCGTCAGCCTCATTCCTAGAGGGAATGCCAACCTGATTTTTGTGTTGAGCCTTTTTTTGCTTTTCTTTATAATTGACCATAAATGTTTGATCGTACATAGTATATTGTTTCCCTCTGCTGCTTTTTGAACTCTGTGGCATCATTTTTTTGACAGCTTTATTGAGACAGAATTCACCTAGCATGCAGTTCCCCAATGTAAGGTGTACCTCTCAGTGGTGTATAGTGTACCCACAGAGTTGCACAACCATCCCAAGAGTTCATGTAAGGACATTTTCATCACCCCATAAAGAAAGTCCATACCCATTAACAGCTACTCCCCATTCCCTCCCAACCCCTCCCAGCCCCAGTGCATTACTAATTTACTTTTCCTCTCTCTAGATTTGTATGATGTCATTCTTTATGGATCCTCTTGCAACTTGATTTCTCCACCTGATACTATTTTTAAAGTTCCCCTGTGTTGCTGCATAAAGCTCATTCTTTTTTTAATGCTATATAGGATTGTCTTATATGTATAGACTACCTTTTTGTTCATCAAGTCTACTGTTGGTAGATATTTAGGTTGTTTCCAGTTTCTTTGTTAGTTTTGCTTCTTGCTATTACTGAAGTTTAGCTCTTTATGCACATGAGCAAGAATGGAATATATCCAGAAATGGAATTGCTGAGTTGAGTGTACGTGTGTCTTCAACCTCAGCAGAATGGTTACACTCCCACCAATGTGGTTGCTGACTTCTGTAGCCCCACATTCTTGCCAACACTTGGTATTAGCCGATTTTCTAACTTTTGCCTTTTCGGTGGGTTTCAAATCATATTTCATCGTAGTTTTCATTGCCTCTTTTTCCCACCAGAACGTATTAGAGATCTTTTCATGTCAATAAAAAATAAAGGTCTCATCTTTTATAGTATTGAGTATCCCAGAGTTTATTTAACCAATCCCCTGTTGTTGGGCTGTTGGCATTTTGGTTTTTGTGCTATTGCATTCTTTGCTACAGGTAGAAATCCTCATTCGCGTCTCCTTGTGCACACATGCGAGTTTTTCTCTAAGAGCGTGGCCTCTGCCTATACTCCCTTCTCTGAAGCCCACAAATGTTTGCAAGCTGCCAGCTCAGCAGACCTCATTTTTTCCTCATATTTGTTAACTTCTGATAGAGAAGGAAGTATCGTCTAAAACCAGGGAGCTTGGACGCTCATGGCTGAGGGCCAGCCAGCCTTGCCTGCCGCCAGCACCAGCTCTCTGCTCTGAACCTCATTGTTACTCTTGCCCCCTCCTCATCTATCCAAGGCTTTAGGTCCTTTGGATGGTTCTTGACTTCAACATGGGGAGGGGAAGATATCCGGGCTGGGGTGGGCCAGAGGGGCCTGACCTTCTGTAGGGCCCAGAACGAGCTTGTCGTGACTCTTAGCATAAGCAGTGCACTGTGGGCATTTTTTTTCTGGTAATTTGTTAACATTTTTTTTTTTTTTTTTTAATTTCACTGTCTGAGGTATAGGTTTTATTTGTAATAAATGATTTAATAATGTATAAAAAGGCATGTTTAGAAATAAATCCCGTGATTCCTGTTCCCTTTTTATTTTATTATTATTTTTTTAATCCTTACCAGAGGACATTTTTTCCATTGCTTTTTCAGAGCGAGTGGAAGGGAGAGAGAGAGAGAGAGAGAAAGAAAAATAAACATCGATGAGAGAGAGACACATTGATTGGTTGCCTCCCACTTTCGCCCCAACTGGGGCTGAGCCTGCAGCCGAGGTACGTGCCCTTGGCCAGAATTGAACCTGGGACCCTTCAGTCCATGGGTCGATACTCTAACCACTGAGCCAAACCAGCCAGGCCCTGCTCCCTTTTTAAACAGTTGTATTCTGTGCAATGATACAGGGATAAAGTCCAGGGCAATCTTCATGAGTCTGGAATACGTCACGGCACATTTGCGAAGGGGGGTTTTTCTTTTCCTTAGGAATTTAGATCATTGGATGGGGTTCCCTGCATTAAGGAAAACTTCCTGCCTGAAAACCCCACGGCCATTCATCCCTTTCGCCTCCCATGCACGGCTTCATTTCTCACAGTGCAGTTTCTTAGAGCCAGGAGGGATCTTGGTCATTGATAGTGTCTGGCACCCTTATTGTACAGGTGAGGTCACCGCAGCCTTTCAGGTTCTGCTCAGCTAGTTAACCCTTCCTGCCGTCCGTCTGGGCTGCGCATCCCTGGTCATGGCTGGTTTGTACCAGGTGGGCTCTGGGGCTGGGCTCCCTGACCCCTCGTTTAGAGAATCTATTGAGTGGCTGTCAGTCCAGAGGCAGGGATCTCAAGTGAAACTCAGAAGGAACCAGACATGACTTAGCTCCCTGCTCAGCTCCTGCAGGCCAAGATCGACCCTTGTTCTCCTAAGATAATGTCCCATGGCCCAGCCTCCGAGCAGGGCCCAGGCTGAGGAGGCTTCTGCTAGTAGATATTGTCTGCATCTCTCTCTATTCCACCTGCTGGTGTTCAGTCCCAACAGGGCAGTCACAGCTCTGATATTGCTCCAAGGGGAGTTGTTCTTTAAGCCTATTTATGTACAATTTATGTATTCTTTATGTAATGCATGTGTTCATTTTAATAACCACACCCATTTAAAGGTATATACACATGTGAAACTAGCCCTGAAATGCAGATACAAGACGTTTTCAGCTTCCCCCAGAGTTGGGCCTCTCCCCTTGCAGGCCATTCCTGCCTCCCTCCTGGCTGCAGGTGGTCGCCGACCTGCTGTCTGTCACTATAGATTAGTGGTATCTCAAGAGGAGCAATTTTACATTTCTTTCTTTTTTTTTTACTTCCAGCCTTAGGTGTAATTGACAAATAAAAATTGTATATATTTAAGGTGTACAATGTGATGATTTAATGTATGTTTACATTGTGAAATGATTACCACGATCAAGGTGATTAACACATCCATCATTTCCCATGGTTACTTTCTGTGTGTGTGGTGAGAAACACTTAAGATCTGCTATTAGTAAATGTCAAATATACAGTAGGTCAGTATTAGTAATGACAGCCTTCATGCTATACATTAGGTCTCTAGAACTTACCCATCTTATACCTTGAAAGTTTGTACCCTTGACCAACATTTCTTCTGAGTTTGCTCAAAATAGTTTTCTGTGAAAACTGCCAAGAAAATTAGACTGTGCTAGTTGCATTGTCAACAGATTTCAAATCATGCAATTGGTGCATCCAAACTTGGGCTCCTTATCTTTTGGAAAGAATCGTCCTCAATCTTAAAAAATCTTTTAAAAATAGTCTCAGATGCCTGCATAGCTTTCATCATTATTTTCTCTTTCTAACAGGTGGTGCTTTGTATATCAGTTGATGTATCCCAAGACTATGGCCAAGTAGAGAATGTCATAAAACAAGTAAGAGGCTGGGCTAATTGGAATTAATTCCTGTGCCTTTTGTTTGGTTCTTAGCATTTTGCTATGTGGTTTGAAATTGGTAAATCTTCCTAAGAGATCTAATAGTTTTATAGATTTTATTTATTGGCATTGATTTGCTACTGAGTGATTCTTCTTTTGTCTTTGTTAATGTGTGCTCTGATACATTGTTCCAGGCACAGGAGAAACTGGGCCCAGTGGACATGCTTGTAAACTGTGCAGGAATGTCAGTTTCAGGAAAATTTGAAGATCTTGAAGTTAGTACTTTTGAAGTAAGTAAAATTTGTTTTTTTGATTATGGGGTAGCCCATACACTAAAACTAGAACAAGGCCCTTGGGTAAAGGCTTTACAAGTGAGATAGATGAAGTGTGTCCAGATGTCATAGAAGCTTTAGGAGACTGGAAGAAACCTGAACAAGCTTTTGGTCCCATTGCCATGACTGTCCAGCCTTAATGGTTTGGATGAGTCCCTCAACCTTCGTTTTCCCAGTTGTAAAATTGGAACAGATGACTGTGACGAATTCCTGAGGTAATAGCCCTGTGTGTAAGCCGGCAGATGCTGGATTTTCATGTGTCAGTATTTTTATTTATTTTTACTTTTTAATTTTTTTTTAAGTGTCAGTATTTTTAACATGGAAAAACCAAAAAGTTGAGCAGATTCTTGAAGAGTTCTCAAATCAAAATTTAAAAAATAATGCATCATATTTATGATTATATTTTTATATGGGTTTGACATGGAACCTCTCCTAGACATTTATTTCAGCCCTAAAGAAATGGACATCAGACCTGAAATCTTTAAGTGCAAAACATTTTTTTAGTTGACATTGCATCAGCCACCTTTTTCTTAATGTTCTACGAAGCTTCATCATAGTCATGGGTTTTAAATGCTTTAGTCTGTGAAGTAGAATTGTATACCCTTTAGGAGAGGGGACTGTTGGAGCAGTAGCTCAGATATCTTGCTTCTGGGGCCCTGTGGGAAGGCACTGTGAACTCTGTGATTTAAAGTCAAGTTGGGAGAGTTCAGATGTAATATAATCAGAGTGGTGCCTTACCTGGGGCTTGAGAGTCTTAAGGCTCCTTTATCAACTAGGCATAAACATGGTTGACTGGCGTACCTTTATCTGTGAGTAATCAAGGGGCATTTTGAAGATTATTTCAATAGCTGTATAAAGAATCAGTTGGGGGAAATAGTTGTAGTAGTGACCTTGGCCTGAAATGGTGAGGGAGGGAGTTCAGAGGTGGCCAGCACAAGAGCAGGGTGTGCGTGTGTGTTTGTGTGTGTGCGCGCGTAAGATGATACAGAGGGACAATCAGTGGACTCCCCTTGACGGAGAGCAGAGGGCCGAGAGGATTGAGGTGTGATTAGTTGCAGGGTTGTAATAAATGAATGCCCTGTTTTACAGCTGGGATCTTGGGAAGCGGGGCGTGTCTGCTCCGGGACAGAGGGAGTCGGGTGATTTGCACTGTGCGTCTGATGGAAGTGGGAAGAAACTGAATGACTGTGTTGTAGGGTGTGTAACTGTGAGCAAGAATCGAAGAAACTACCTGTACAGTACCAGGGAAATGCCTGTATGTGGGTGTCAGTGACAGGCAGACAGTGTGACGTAGGTGAGGTGAAGGAGGAGGAAAATAATAATATGAAGCTTGTGAAACAACAAAAAAGCACAATTCTAATCTCTTTTAAAAATTCACTTTTCTCTCAACCTTCAGTCTCCCATTCACACTGTTCCTTTCTGTTCCTTCCTTCATTCCACCCTCCCGCCCCCCTCTTTTGTTTAAAAAATCAACACTCACAATTTATTTCTTTTCCACATCAGCATCTCTCCACACCTGCAGCATCTCTCCACACCTGCAGCATCTCTCCACACCTGCAGCATCTCTCCACACCTGCAGCATCTTTCCAAACCTGCAGCATCTTTCCAAACCTGCAGCATCTTTCCACACCTGCATCTCTCCACACCTGCATCTCTCCACACCTGCAGCATCTCTCCACACCTGCAGCATCTCTCCACACCTGCAGCATCTCTCCACACCTGCAGCATCTCTCCACACCTGCATCTCTCCACACCTGCAGCATCTCTCCACACCTGCAGCATCTCTCCACACCTGCAGCATCTTTCCAAACCTGCATCTCTCCACACCTGCATCTCTCCACACCTGCAGCCACCCGAATGACTCTTGCTCTCTGCTCTGAAGCAGGTACAGCAGAGAGAAAGGCAGACTCTGGCATCAGGCTAAACCAGTTTGAGGTCTTAGATCTAATGGTTTTTAGTCTGACCCTTTGCTCACTCTCTTATCTCAGGCAGATCTTCCTTCCTTTTCCGGCCCCAGCTCCCATCTCTGAACCGGATAGACAGCTCTCAGAGCTGTGAGAATTAAGTAACATAATGTGTGCGTGAGGCTTAGCCCATGGCAGCTGCTTAGTAAATAATAATGTTCTTTCCCTGCTACTCATTCAACCCACAAATACTCGAGAAAGCCTCTGTGCGTTCAGCATTGCTCTGTGGTGAGTGAGAAAATAAAGTCTTGGCCCGGTGATGTGGGCCGGTCTCCACAGGAGCAAGCAGACAGCAGTGTGATTTCAGACTGGTACGTGCTGTGGGGAAAGGAATGGGGCTCTGTGAGGTGGTGTGGATGGAGGCCCAGCCTGGGGACTCTGAGACCTGGAGAACTAGGGGAAAGGGACCTGGGAAGAGATCTCAGGTGGAAGGGCCAGTAGCTGCCCAGGCCCCTGGTGGGAGGAGCTTGGCAACCCCAAGGACGGACCAGCAGGCCTGTGTGGCTAGAGCAGCCCAAGGGATGGGTGGAGTGGAGCAGGGGCCAGGTCTGCAGTATGGGTTTTAGTTTGGAGCCTCTCAAGTTTTAAGCTAGGCTAGGCAGTGGCGTGATCTGCGGTTTTTAAAGGATCTCCCACTGTGTCAGGGAGACTTTTAGGAGCTTTTGGGGTCGTTAAGGAAAGAAATGGTGATGTTGGGAAGTGGATAGAGGTAGAGTATTGGGCAGCCATGAAGTGTGGGGGGCAGGGGGCAGGCAGGAGGCAGGGACAGGTCAGCACAAAGACTCAAGTGGCTGATAGGGGATGTTGGAAGTGACCCCAGCCCCAGTGAGAACTAGCCTTCTAAAAACAAAGGACTGTTAATCCCAAACCTGGGGCCTCTATTCCAGTGACAGGGTCTCAGACCAGGAGGCCCTCTCTGGCCTTAGTCCCCTTACAGAAAGGCCCTTCTTCCCCTGGCTGCCCTGAATGGAGGCAGCTGGGGACCATCACCTTCCAAGGCCCCTCTGCCCTCTCCCATCTCGGGCTCGGGCACTTGCCTTGTTCTGGTCAAGTCGAGGCATGGGCTTATGATCAGTGAGCACTGTTAGAACACACACCACCGCATATGATGCACTTTCTGAAGCTGGGGATTCATTTTTGTTTAAATTCTATCTCAGTTACTTCTGTTTAGCTCCTTGTTTTAAGTTTTACTTTTATTGACGTTCACACGCACATAAGATGCCTGTGCACACTACTTTGCATGTGCTGTCGTCACAACTCATTGCCAGGGACGTGAGCCCGCCCTGTGTGACTCCGAGAGCAGCAGACACCTGGAGACCTGCACCTGGTGTCCTCTGGACTCTACCCTGGGTGCCTTTTGCCCTTGCTGATTTAGCTCTTTGTCCGTCACTGTAATAAATCTTAGTCATGAGCACAACTCTGTGCAGAAGAATCCTGTGAGGCCTTCCCATGAATCACAAAACTGGAGGTGAACTTGGGGACCTCCAACACACTTCACTTTCCTTTTTAATGCTTTTCTTTGTGGTTTCTTGAAGCTGTGTCTTGTTTTTTCTACCTGTGGATATGAATGAGAGTTATTTTACATTTTTGATTGGGATTACATTGACTCTATAGGCCTACTTGGGGAGAACTGACATCTTAACAATATTGTCTTCTAACCTGTGGACATGGTCTATATCTTCACATAGGTTTTCTTTCATTTCTCTCATCAAGGTTTCATAGTTTCAGTGCGTGGGTCTTGCACATTGCTTTTCAGTATTTTTTTTTTGATGCTTATATAAATGTGTTTTTTTAAAATTTCAGTTTCTGAGTGTTCATTGCTAATGTGGAAAAATAGAGTTGATTTTTGGATGTTGATCTTGCAATCTTGCTAAACGCAGTTATGAATTCTAGTGCTCATTGGATTTTCTACATCGAGGATCATGCCACCTGCAACAGTTTTACATCTAACATTCCCTTCTGGACACCTTTATTGAGCTGGCTGGAACTTCCAGTACAGTAGTGAGAGCAGACTTTCTTGTCTTGTTCCTGATCTTAGGGAGAAAACATTCAGTTTAAATGTTTAAATGTGATGTTAGCTGTAGTTTTGTTTTTGGTAGATGCCCTTTATCAAGTTGAGGACGTTCCCTTCTGTTCCTAGTTTGCTGAGAGCTTTTATAAGGAATGGATGTTGAATTTTGTCAAATGCTTTTTAATTTTTATTTATTTTTACTTTTTAAAAATATATCTTTATTGATTTCAGAGAGAGGAAAGGAGAGGGAGAGAGAGAGAGATAGAAACATCAATGATGAGAGAGTCATTGATCAGCTGCCTCCTGCATGCCCCCGACTGGGGATCAAGCCCACAACCCCGGCATGTGCCCTGACCGGGAATCGAACCCTGATCGCCTGGATCCTAGGTCCACGCTCAACTGCTGAGCCACACCCAGCCCGGCGTCAAATGCTTTTTTAGTATCCATTGGGATGATCATAGGGTTGTGTTTGTTTAGTTTATTAATATGATGAATTACATTGATTAATTTTCACGTTAAATCAGCCTTTCATTCCTAGGATGAAATCACACTTGGCTATGCTTTCTTATTTCTGTGTTCTTGAGGGATATTTTCTTCTCTCATAATGTTATTTTCTGGTTTGAGAGGAAGGATAATGCTGGCCTCGTGATACAAGTAGGGGAGTATTCTCTTTTCTCCAGGTTTCTGGAAGAGTTTGTGTAGAATTGGGATTATTCTTTCTTAAATGTTTGGTAGAATTCACCGGTGAATTCCGAGGTTTTTTTCGTCTCTCAAGGAATTTGTCCATTTCCTCTGAGTGACTGAATTGATTAGCACAAAGTTATTCGTCATATTCCACTATTATCCTTTTGTTAATATCCATAGAGTTTGTAGTGACGTCCCCTCTCTGATTCTTGATAGTGATCATTTGTGTGTCCCCTCTCTTTCCTGACCGGGATGACTAGAAGTTTATCAGTTTTCTTGATTTTCTCAATAACCAGCCTTTGGTTTTATTGATTTTTTAAAATTGTTTTTCTGTTTTCTATTTCATTGATTTCTTCCATTATTTTTATTATTTCCTTTTTTCTGCTTGCTTTTGTTTTAATTCACTCTTCTTTTTATAGTTTCGTTGGGTGGAAGCCGAGGTCATTGGTTTGGGGACTTTTTCCTTTTCTAATACAGATGTTTAAGGGCTGCCCATTTCCACCCAGGTCCTGCTCAGTAGCATCCCACCAGTTTTGATCATGTGTGTTTTTACTTTCATTCAGTTAAAAATATTTTTTAATTTCCCTTTTTGTTTCTGCTTTGTCCTTCGGGTTATTTAGAAGTGTGTTGTTTAGTTTCCAAATATTTGAGTGTTTTTCAGAAATCTTGCTCCTGTTGATTTCCAGTTTAATTCCCTTGTGGTCAGCCAACATACTTCGCATGACTTGAATCTTTTCACATTTATTGAGATTTGTCTATGGCCCAGAATACAGTCTATCCCATAGCCCTTCCTTGTGCACTTGAAAAGAATGTGTATTCCGCTGCTTTGGGTGAAGTGTTGTATTAGTGCTGATTAGGTCCAGTTGACTGATACATAAATCTTCTGTATCCTTACTGATTTTGTGTCTACTTATTCTATCAATTATTGAAAAGTGGTATTGAAGTCTCTGATTATAATTGTGAATTTGCTTCTCTGACTGTTTTTTTTTAAAAACAGATTCTTAGTCGATACTCCTGTCTTTCAGCCTCCCTGAGATACTTGAGGCTTTTGAGGGTTCTGTGGTACAATCCTGCTTTTTAGTTTCTCTGCTCCTTGCTTAGCATTCAGCTTTCTGTTAAGCTGGTTATCACTTGTCATTCTGTTCTTCAACTTCCAAACTATTACTGCTATTATTTTCTTTCCTATTTTTCTTTGCTCTTGTGGATTCTTACCCTTAAAAATATAAATTTTTACTGACATTTTAATGGGGTCTCTGAAGGGAACTGAGGTTAACACTTGGATTCAGTGTGCCATCTTTTTTCAAGTACTGTTTTAGAGAATGTTTATTATTATAACAATATAATTATATTAAAAGGCATTTGTAGGAAAATGGTAACACAATCACATATAATTTCCTGTATTTCCTTGGGTTCACTCCTGTGTACATGTGCTTTTATTTAATATTTGAGATAGTTCCAGTCACAGTGTACATCCAGTCTGCCCTCTGCTTTTTCTAAACTTACAGAATAAATATTCCCCCTCTTGGTTTTTCTGGTCATTATTTCTAGAAGTTATCGAACATTCTATTGAGTTAACATTTAATGGTGGACTCAGAAGTTCCCCCAGTGAAGTGTTTGGTTTTACATGGTGATAGATTTAATATTTTTACAAGACTTTTAACATAAAAATATTTTAATGCAAGTAGTCTTAGATTTTCAAGTTAAAATGTAAGATTTTTAAGAGTTCCCTGGATGAGGGGAAATAAATACACTGTGGATACTTACGTAAAATCTTACCCATCATAAATAAGAGCCAACATTTATTGAGTACTTACTGTGGGTCAGGTGCTGTGCTAGCACTCAACTTGTGTTTCCTCTTGTAGTCCTTGCAGCAACCCTGTGAGATAATACCATTATTAACCCAGCTTTTAGCTGCAGAAATAAGTAGAGTGTTTGACTTCCTGGCTTATTGTCAAATAGGTAGTAAATGGTAGAGCCAAACCTTCACACCACAGTCCATGCTGTTAACCACTGTCCCAGTCTTTCTTTCGCATGGAACTAAAGGGCTGGACCTATTTGGAATCTCATTCCTAAAACTCTTTCAAAAAGCACCACCTGCAAGGGGAAAACTAATTTTGACCCGTATTCAGCCAAGACATAACTGTGGTCATGGTGAGAATGTGAGATCGGCCTGAGACAGACTTCAGATGGTAGATCCTAAGCATTGTGGCTCGTTGACAGGGTCACTCAATCATTCGTTCATTTAACAAATCCACAGAGCTCCCAGTCTCTTGGGCTCCACTGAAGAACTGCCAACTGGAGAGCAGACTGAGTTCTTGGGAGCGCAGCCTTGTGGCTTTGACCTTCCTCACGCCTCATGGCCTCTTTGCTCCCTGCAGAAACTAATGAGCATCAACTACCTGGGCAGTGTGTACCCCAGCCGAGCTGTCATCACCACCATGAAGGAGCGCCGGGTGGGCAGGATCGTCTTTCTGTCCTCCCAGGCGGGACAGGTGGGACTCTTCGGTTTCACGGCCTACTCTTCATCCAAGTTTGCCATCAAGGGGTTGGCTGAAGCTCTGCAGATGGAGGTAAATGCTGTTTTCGGTTTTATATTTATTCCTCTGGGCTCAGCAAATGTTCCCCTTTAGTTTGTAGCTTCTTTACACATGTTGTTATATTGAGTTAAAGATTTGTAGATTTGACATTAGTGAAAGAGAACTGGTTTGGTGCTTGAATTTTGCAGTTAAAAAGCTAACATTTTTTTATTGCATAAAATGATTCTAGATGTGACAGGCAAAATGGTTGTGATGTTTTTGCTTGCTTAATTTAATACACAGAGTACTACTAATGTCTTCATTGCATTATTGGCCTGATACTGTGTGAGTGTGTCTAATAGGGTTAACCAGATATTTTATTCTCTAAAGATGTGTCTTTAACAAAAAGATCTGTCCTTTATGACTGAATAATAGACTTAGCATGTGTGTGAGGGGAGAGGTGAAGCTGTCTAGCTCTCAGCTTTTACACTAATCATTTAACTTGGTCTCAGTTTACTTATCTATAAAATGAAAGGGTTGGGCTAAAAAAAAAAAAGTCATTTGGCTCTCCTAATACTCCTATTTTAATTCATTAAAAAAATATTGATACAAGTGATTGCCTTTTGTTTTCACAGTTAATAGCACATTTTGCAGAGGAAGGGTGAGACTAGGATTAGTATCAGAGCAAGTGCTTGTCACGACGTGACAGCCTCACACTCAGCTGTGTGAAATAGACTTCTGCATTCCTGTCACATGGGGATGCTTAGAGACTATCACACTTATCTATCCAGAGTCATGCACTGAAAAAGGCAAGGCAGAGTTTCACTATCGCAGTGTATGCAGAAGTATAACGCTGTATCATGATGTAAAACCCAGAAGAGAATTCATTGTGGCCAACCCTCTTTTCTAGTAACAGTGTGATTTGAGAATCTCATTTAATGACTTAGATCAGGAGAAGGAAAATGTTTTTCTGTAATGGACCAGATAGTAATATTTTAGCCTTTGAGGGTTAGGTGGTATCTGTCACAACTACTCAAGTCTCCTGTGATAGCAGAAAAACAGCCATGTGTAATGCATAAATGAATGGTTGTGGCTTTATTCCAATAAAACTTTATTTATAAACAGGTGAAGGGCCAGATTTGGCCCACAGACCATAGCTCGCTGACCCCTGAATAGAAAATCCCTAGAAGAGCCCTGGATGGTACATAGAGAGCCACACTGCCTAGATACTGGACGAGCATTGTGGTAGACAAGTTGTTCAGTCAGTGACAGAATCCTCAGATGCCACTTAGGGACAGATAGGCCGTGCCATTCTCCTATTAAAGGAATCACCCCAAACTTCATTTTCATCAACTTGCTTAATACTTTTAACCAATAATCAGTCATTATAATATGAGTAGCCAAGAGTACACATATGACTGAAATTTCAAACAAGAATACTGGAATTTCTTTTGCAACTTTTACTTTGAAAAGTCCCTTCATAAATCACCCTTTTATTTTTATAACAGTTTTGTGAAATATGTGAGGCAGACGATGTTACCTTATAGATCAGAAAACTGAGTTTTTAAGAAGTTCCTGGAGTTGCTCAAAGCACGACTTTGTGACAGAAATAGTAACAAAGCCCACAGCTTTGGGCTCCGCCTTTGCCTCTCTCCTGCAGCAGATGTGTCTGTAATTCAGGTCAGAAGGGCCCTGATTCATCTCACTGGCTGTCTCAATCCTGGACTGTGGTCTTAGAAACCTCGCAGGTGAAGGGCATTGGAAATGACAGCTCTGCCCATTAGGGCTTTTCACCCCTACATCTTATCTTGTGGACCCACCTCAGGATTCACTAATTTAGGGCAAAGTGTATAATGTGAGTGGCCTGGTTTTACTTCCGGTAGAATGGAGATGTTAATGAAGAGGGACACGTTGCTAGTGCAGAGACCCTGCAGCCTCTTTGCGACAAGAGTGATTCACACGCTGCAAATAGCTGGGCTGGGCCTGGCAGTTGGCTTGACTTCTGTCTGTATTTGGACTCCATTGAAAATGTCCTCACGTAAACAGAAAATAAAATGAAGAAAACCTGTATCATGAAGAATAGGTTTGGGGGGAAATAAATTCAGTAATCCAAATCTAGTTTGTTCAAAGTCGAACCCTCATCATAACAAATATTTCCCTGCAAACTTCTGGTGCTGTGTTTTTGAGACATGGATAATTGAGTCTCTTTGGCCAAGGTGGTGGTGGTTTCTGTGAATGAAACAGATCTTAGAGAATCGCTCAAACGTTAAATACTTTAGATAACCCTTTTTGGTTTAACTCTTAAGTCTTCCTGTCCACCCCACAACCTTGCCCCAAAACTAACGTCAGGCCCTAGAAATGCTGTGTGTACGGTGAACAGTTCTGAAAGAATGCTTCATTACATTTGTCTTTTGAAAAATTCAGTCTCTTAAGTACAGATACATCATTTAAAGATTTTAGTTAATTTTGGGGGAAAGCAGAGACCCCATGTAAGAAAACTAGGGCTCCTGTCCTTCTCTGGTGTCGTCCTGCTCAGCCCCTCTGCCCCCCCTTCCCACCCGGCCATAACCTCGAGTTTGAGAAACACTGCTTTGAAATGCTGTCTTACATTGGCTTATGTGCCACCATCCTTACCATTGGGGACACGGCAGCACAGAAGTAACCACTTACTGGCTTTTTAAAAATTTCTTTTTGTATTAAATTTATTGGGGTGACATTGATTAATAAAATTACATAGGTTTCAAGGGTACATTTCTATGGTACGTCATCTATATCATTGTGAGCCCCCCGCCCAAAGTCAAGTCTTCCTCTGTCGCCGTGTATTTGACCCCGTTACCTTTACTACCACGCACCCCCCTCCCCTCTGGGAACCACTGTACTGTTGCCTTGTGTCTGTGCGTTTCTGTTTGTCTGTCTTGTTTGTTGGTTTGTTGCTTTCGGTTTTATGTCCCATGTGTGAGCTCTCTGGTCTGTGCACAACAGAGGGCAAAGTCATGGGAGAGTTTTAAAGTCTCAAAAGCCAGGGGAAGAGAACTCTGCTCATCAGCTTCACTGCCTGGCCCAGATCCAGAGCTACGTAGGCGCGTAGCTGGGCCTTGAAGCCACACGCCCGTCTGTGCTGAGGGAATGAGCTCTGGCGCTCTCGGTGCACCGGAGCCCAACCAACAGAGGTGTCACCTTTGCTACTGCACTTTCCAGGCTGGCTGGCCAGGACCTTCTGTCTGCAGGTTTCTCTGGGCCCTTACAGCGCCTCCAACGGGCTTCAGAACTGTGCTCACAGTTCCCCCACCCACAGGGGGAAAAGGGCTCTATGATAAGAGGGGACCACGGGATGCTCTCAGAGGCTGTTGCATTAGGCAGTCCTGTTGTGTTTTTTCAGCATCCTTAAGACACTGAGTGGCCGACCGTAGTACCAGCTGCCTTCCCACTTCCAATTCATGGGGACCAAACACCGAGCCAGTGGCAAACAGGTCAGGGCAGAGATTTTGATGGTATGAACCATCACCCTTAGAGTCGCTAAGAATCGGTGGAGCAGGGCTTTAGAAAGGGTGTGTCCCACCTGACCAAGCTGTGTCCTGGAATTGTTGGGGAGGTGTTTATGAGTGGGAACGGTTAAATGTAGAGGCACAGCGGTGAGGTCAACAAGCCTAAGGGCAACATGTTCTTCCATCCAGGAGCAGGTGGGGTTCCAGGTAAGGGAGGGAGCTGTGAAGATAAACTGGAAGGGTTTCTCTATGTCAATGAGATATGAGGCTGTCCGCAAGAGAGGTGCTTGGCTGAGCTGACTTGGGGGTTCCACCTGCGAGAAGATTCCTGTTGGCCAGTTCTGTGAAGGAGGAAGTGACTCCTGAGCCCTCACGGTCAGGGCTGGCTACACAGAGAGCCCCTGAACAAGCAAACTTCTCGGGGTGCATACAGTTCTAGACCCGGGTCTGGGTGTCACGAGAAGAACACAGGAAGGGGTCTGAATGACCTCAGCATATCCTGTAGATGAAATCACTGTAACAGGAGTTTCAGAAGCAGCGTAAGGGAAAACACATTTGCAGCCTGACAGTGGAGGAGCAGACTTAGGCCTCGCCTTGAACCCGAGGGGCACGCAGAGGGCCGGGAGACCAAGGGGATTCCTTTTAGCGTTGTCTGTTTGTCACTGGCAGCAGCGGGCGGGAAGAAACCAAGAAGGGGTGAGTGGCCGTACCTTAGGACCAGCTGTCTTCTGGAGCAGAAGTTAGGATGAGCTTTTTGTCTTTATTTCTAAATGACCTTGGTGGAGAGGCGTGGGAGGCATGTCCTGACTCAGATCGTGGGTGGTGGTTCTGCACTTACAGAATGACCTGTTGGTCTGGGCCACCTTTGAGGAAATCAGGGCAGAGTTTGTTACATACACATGCGTGGCACGCAGTGCGGGCTGGCGAGGGTGGACGGGAATTGCATCTTGTTTACCGAAGGGGCATCCGTTGTTTCTGAAATGCAGGTGAAGCCATATAATGTCTATGTCACCGTCGCCTACCCACCTGACACGGACACCCCTGGGTTTGCAGAAGAAAACAAAACAAAGGTAAGTATTCCTCTGTGCCCCGATTCAGGTCTTAACATCGGAAACCCGTTTTCTGATTTTTCTCTTTTCACACTTCAGCCCACAGGCCATTTTCATCAGTTAGGAAATTGAGTTTCTTTCAATTTATGTGCTAGTTAGAGGCCTCTGAAATTTTTGGAACTTTCATTTCAGATCTTGGACAATGCAGCCATATTTTCAAAGGCCGTGAGTTTTGCTAATAATCTTTGAAGCCTTATTGAATTATTAAGGTGTTTTCTTTATGATGGAGAGAGTACAGCCTGGATTTTTAGCTAATGAGACGATATTCTTTAAAAATCATGTTCTCCCCCTGAACTTAAAGACCCGGTGGCTGTTCCATTGTCTCCCTGTGGAGGTCTAATGGGCACCTCAGACTTAACATTTCCAAAACGGACCTTTTGATTTCCTCTCATTTCCCCTTGTTACTTTCCTCTCATTACCTGGCGCCCACCGTTCACCTAGCTGCTCAGGTGGAAACCGATAAGCCAGCTTCAGTCTGCCTCTTGGCTCCACTGTCAGAATATATTGTGGATCGGACCTGTTTGTTTGTTTGTTTTTTTAACTGCACATGTCACTTCCATTCCAGCAGTAACAGCCACTGATCTTTTTGCCCGAATTCCTTTACTAGCCTTCAGAGTGGTCTGCCTGCTTCTGTTCATCTCCCTTGGGGTCTGTTCTGTATGAAGTCGATAGTGACCTTTGTGAAGCTTAAGTCAGGCCTTGTCACATCCCTGTTTAAAACCCTCTTGTGCAAAAACAAAACAGAAAACAAACCCGAAAGAACGAACACCTCTTGGGCAGCATGGTCCAATAGAATGTTCTAGGATGACAGAACTGTTCTGCATTTTACTCTCTAATATGGTAGTCACATTGTGGCTCTTGAGCACCTGAAATGTGGCAAGTGGGGTTGAGAAATTGAATTTTTAATTTTATATACTTTTAAGTAACTTCAAGTTAAAACATTGCATGTTGGTCGTGGCTTCATGTTAGTGCGGTACTGGTGGCTCCCATTGTGCCTGGAACAGAATCCAAAGGCCTTGAGCCTTGTAAGGTCCCACAGTTGTCTGGACCTCGGCCACCTACCTGCCCACAGCATTTTCTCCTCTTATGCTCGGTTCCGTGAGCTTGCGAGGCCTGTGGTCACCTGCGGGCTTCACTCTTGCTGTCGCCTCTGGATGTTTGCATGGGTGATTCCCTGTGTCTTCCCATCTCTGTACAGAGGCCACTTCCCTGCCCTCTGCGGCTCTGCCAGCACCTCTGGGCGTTCACCATCCTCTGGCTTTATTATTTCTCCATGGTGCTTATGACCGCTGGGCACCTACATGATATACAGGACTCTCGGTGGTCCTGAGCTGAATACAGGCTTTGCATTTTTTTTAAGGAACCTCCTCCATGCCGTGATGCATAGTAGTCACCGAGCAAAATCAACAAAGTGGAGAAAGGAGTCAGTCAGAACTTCCCGCCTGCACTGGCGCTGCTTGTTTTCCTCTCTTCCGTAATAATGCTCAGTGTGAAGCTCCACAGCATAAAAATGGGCACTTACGCTTCACACACCGTATATTTGCTAAAAGGTGTTTATGATTTAGAAGCTTTTTTCCTATTCATTTCTCTTCGGCTCTGCCTCTTTGAAAATTACTGCTATTTCAAAGGAGTAAATTTAAGCCAAATGTCTGTCTTAGAATAAGCGGGGAACCTGCTAAGCGGATTTGCAGCATTTGCTACGCAGTCTTGTAGTTTGAAGCCAACACTGACAGGGTGGAGATTTCCCTGTGAAGATTTGATTTTGATGTTAAGTTGGGTGGGGTTTTTCCCCTCCACTAAAATGCTGGACGGACTTCTCGGGGCAAATCAAATCCTGCACTGGTCTGTGAGCCCTTTAGGGGGCGCCATAGTGCTTTTAAATCTAATGTGTGTTGACCACCTGGGGTTGTACCAGCCTGGTGGTTTGGAAGAGTGAATGGCGGCCCTTTCAAAAGGGCCTTTCTCCTAATTCAGATTTGTCAAGACGTACTGGACTTTCATGAAGTGCTGTGCTTTTCTATTTTAAGAAGATATATTCTGGTTTTAATTTTAATTCTTTTAAGCCCGCATGCTAAATACAAATTATAGTTTCATGCAGTTTAAGGCTTCAGCTTTGAAACTTCTGACTGAAAGTCCCTAAAGAGTTTTTGAGCATTTGTGTGCAGGTTTCCACAAAGAAGACTCAAAAAACAAACAAACAAAAAAACCAGGGAGAAAGACCCTGCCCACGAAGAACTTAGGAGGTAAATTGTAAATACTCAAGTAGCTATAATATATATTAAGGCAGACATGTTCAAGGGAAGAGAAATTGCTGCCACTTAAGAGCTCACGGAAGGCTTTTTGACCTCAGTGACAATTGAGATTGACCTTTAACAAAAGGCTAAGATTTGGGGTTCTGATGTCCCCACCTAGTAAGAGCACACAGCTACGTTTTATCTTCCAGCCTCCTCATTGCCTCTTCGCAGGTCCTTTAAGAAACAGTTGTGGTGCTGAGCAGAGCTGCAGCTGTCCCTGCTCAGGACCCCAGCTCTGTCCAGGTGCCAGTCCTCTGCTGGCCTGGGCGGACGGTGAGAGCAGAGATGCAGGTCACAAGAGCAGACTTGCTCAGGGCACCCAGTCTAGGCTCCTCGTAAACACCATCAGTCAGGTGTCTGACCAGCAGTGAGGACTCAAGGAGGGGTGTTTCTGGTCTTGTACCAGTGATGGGTTCTCATTCAGGCTTTGATGGTCCTCGCTGGAGCTGAGACCCCACGTCCTACAGAGAGTGTGGCCAGGGCCTCTTTGTCTGGGTTCAGCTACTGGGCTGAATTTTACACAATGACCAGGTAGAAACTGATTTAGAATCCAGATGGACCTAATTCTCAAAATAGGAATCTACTAAAAGGTAGAGAACTGGAATTATTTATAAATCGGGGGAAGAGGGATGTAAGAATGATTTGTTTTTTAAATTAATGGTATTGATGTGTCCGTTTTTCCACTTTAGCCTTTGGAAACCCGTCTTATTTCAGAGACCACGTCTATTTGCACACCAGAGCAAGTGGCCAAACAGATTGTTAAAGATGCCATAGTAAGTCGTCCTGATTTTATTTATTATATCTTTTGGGCCAGTCAGATTCATCATATCTAATATGGGACTCTGCTTTTCTTCCCCCAGACACGTTATCGATTCCACGTTAATTAGCAGGCTTCTGGAAATGAATTATATATCTTAACCTTAGGAGTAGACTGATCAGTGTGGGTGCCTGGGAACATTAGTCCTTTAAAGAGAAAATGAGACTGACCTGTGATGTGTCAGCGTGTGTTCTATATACTGCATGTGGCATGCTGCTTTGTCTCTTCTTTCCCACAGGACTTTTAGTTCTAGATTAGTTGAGGTTCCTGATTGCCAGACCCACCAGCTTTCTTTCACCTTCCTGGTTCACAGAATCCTTTTCCCAAATGTTCACTAGTAAGAAAGTACAGCCAGCCCACTGGGCCATCCCCTGTCAACCCAGCCACGTGCATCTGGGCTACTGAGTTAATTTGGAGTCCAAAAAGTGTACCTTCAGAAACCACGTGCTATTTTGTAGAACAGCGCATGTGCCGCACGCAGGCTTTTGACAATATTCCTGTGACCACAGCGCAGCCAAACAGCCAATTATGAGGGATGTCTGTAAACCTGAGGCTCACACTGAACTTAGGAAATTTGGGGACCACTGGAATGAGACGTGTCAGGACGCTGTGCCTGAGGCCCACCAGAGCAGAAAATGGGAAATCTCAGACTCTGTTAAAACACATGCAGACGTTGGGAGAACTTGACCCTGCCGTGTTCAAAGGCATAGAAAGTCGGCACCATGGATGGGGCGGGCTCTGTTTTTCCTGCTTATCTCCAGTGAAAGCAAACACTCTGTGTTTTTAATGATCTGAAACAGCTCTTTGTATCTTGGCAGGATTCATTTTGTCTGGTGGTGCTCAAACTTCCTCACCTCTTGACCGCTTTACACTCTAAATGGTTGACAACCCCAGAGAACTTTGGTTTACATTGGTTACGTTTGCCATATTAGAAGTGAAAACTGTATAATTTTAAAAATATTTATAATTCATTTAAAATAATAAACCGACTACATTTTTAAAAATGTTTTTATTGATTTCAGAGAGAGGAAGGGAGAGGGAGAGAGAGAGAAACATCAATGATGAGAGTGTCATTGATGGGCTGTCTCCTGCACACCCCCGACTGGGGATCGAGCCCGCAGCCCGGGCATGTGCCCTGACCTGGAATCGAACCCCGATCGCCTGGATCCTAGGTTGATGGTCAACCGCTGAGCCACACCCAGCCGGGCAGCCCATTATATTTTAGTGTAACATATTTACAACCATAATTATTTCTCAGAACAAACCTTTGGTGAGACGAGAGTCTTGGTTTCACACTTCGGTCGTCTCTTCAATGTCTGTGTTCTTGGAAGACAGCCAGGTTCTCAGAGCTGCTTCTACCTTCAGTCTGTTGTCATATGTGGTTTTGAATGAGGGACAGAAAGAAAATCTGGCCTTACACACACATGTGTAGTTAGAAAAGGGAGGGGTATTTTATAGGCTTTTCAGATTATTGTGGACATTCTTTTTTAGTATTAAACCCAAACTGGATGAATGGTAGTTTCTTAGAGGTTAGTTGCTGTGTGGAATTGGAAACTCCATTAATGAACCTTTGTTCTCTGTTGCAGTAAAACCCACTGGTCTTTGCACTTGGAGTGCTTTGTACCCATTCATGATTTTGGAACATCATACATTAGTCATTTGGAAAATATGGGTTTGCTGCGTTACCCAAAAAATTATATTCATTGATGTCGCTGCTGATCTTATAAAAGTTCACATACCAGGAAGCTGACAGTTTCATGGAAAGCTCAGATTTTAACACTGGCCACAAAAACTGCTCATTTCATTAATTGTCTACAAGATATTTTCCGAATACCGAGCGTGAATAACCGTAGGTTGTCTGTTCATGGTTCTTTGATGTAAAAATGGTATTCCATGGAAAAAACAAATTTCATGACGTAGGCCGTAGGAAGAGGGCATGTCTCCAGGCAGCAGCCCCTTGGGTTTGGTGCACAGCGGAGTCTCCTTTTGTTACCCAGAATATTAAGAAGACATGGCCTCAAGGGTTGAGATTTAATAAAATGATTCATTTTCGTGCCTTATCAAGAGCATTTTAAAGCAAAATTGACATTTAAAAATTTTATAAGCTCTTTCAAAATTTCTATTTTCTTTGTATTTATTATAGCTGGTGTGTGTGGCAGTGGAGAGGTGCCACTGCTGTGGTTTGTGCTAATGAGCCATCATTTTGCAGATGTCACTCAGAGAAAAAGGACTTTAGCGCTTTAGTATTATTATGAGAATTGTTTTGTCCTCATGGACCTCCCCCCCGCTTCATGGACACCCAGGGCCCATGGACTGACCCATATTTTGAGAACCTTCCATCTAGCCATTCAGCCCCTCTGCCAAGGCCACATTCATTTCTGAGCTGCGGCCCATGGTCTGTTACCCTCTTACCCCACTTAAATGACACGCTTCCCTGTTTCTGGGACGTTGAATTGGTTAATAACTACTATTGCCTCTTTTTTTTCTCTTCTGTCCAGCAAGGAAATTTTAACAGTTCCGTTGGCTCAGATGGGTACATGCTCTCATCCCTGACCTGCGGGATGTCTCCAGTCACTTCTATTACCGAAGGGCTCCAGCAGGTAAGCTGTGCCGTGGACAGCAGATGGACAGACAGACAGACAGATAGTGCCTCTCATTAAACCTCGATGAGGAAAGGCTAAATAAAGGAAGACTTAGCAACTTGATCTGAGCAAGTGAAAAAGTTTTTATTAAAGTATCAACTTTTTCCCTTCCTCTACGAGGGATGTCACTGGGAAATAGGTGAAAGGTTTAAGGGGGCATTTGGACTGGGAAGAAGCTGTTGGTGCTGGGCCCTGCAGACGCAGAGAGAAAATGCTGTCTCTGCGGTTGGGCGTTAATCTGGGCTCTCCTCTGGTCTGAAGTGTTTGGAAAATGGAATTCTCCTCTGTCTAGAGTAGTTTAGGGGTGGCCTTGCCTGACAGTACTGGGATATTAGACCAGAACTCTTTGTCTAGGTGAGTCAGAACATAGATAACCAACTTAGGGAGATAGAAGTAAGGGACTCAACACAATCCCCACCCTAATGGCTACTATAGTTCATCCAGGACGCAAACACTTAACTGCTCCTTGAAGTGCTCGGTGCTGTGTTTGCTGCTGAAGAATCAGGTGTGAACTCCAGGGGATTCACAGTCTGGTGGGAGAGACCCATATGCATGGTGATGCTAATGTAGTGGAAAGTGACTGAGTTGTACCAGAGGGATTGCTCTGGAAAGACAACACCGTGGACAAGAGAGGGTGGATGGAGGGCAAGGAGAGGGCGGGAGGGCTGCCTGAGCAGGGGCTGCCGGTGCCCATGGGCAGTTATAACAAAGGGCTGAGTTAGGTGCGGTAGACCGCATCCAGACGAAGGTCCGAATGACTTAGCTGTTGGTTTCCTCTTTTCTCTGTGATACACCCGCGATGTTGTGATTCCCTCTCCGGCGTAGACGCTCTAGTAGACCTAAGCTCTCTGAGGACACAGGTGGTGCCTGGCGCGGGGCAGGAACTTGAGAATGCCTGCGTGGAACACGTGCGTGAGTGCTGCACAGCCCCTGTGGGCCGCCTTCATTCTCCCACGGCTGTACGAGTGATGTCAGATCTAAAGCTTCAGCCGGTGCCTGCGTCCTGAACTCAGTCTGGATACATTTCTTTCCCTTGGGTTGTGATGTTCCATCCACATTAGGATCATCATTTTTATGGCTATTTAAGTGCTATTCACAGCTGAGCTATGAAATATAGAAATAATGAATTTCCCTTTTTGCACAACCTTTTGTTTTCCCTGAACTGTTATGGCTCCTTTTAGTGTCCGATTTCTGTGTGTTATTAATAATGACTGTCTTCTTCTTTGCTCAGAAAGATCAGGTACTCTATCAGCTTCACCTTCTGGAACAAATTCCTCCTGAAACCTGCCCCTATGTCTGTGCATGGCTGACCCTCCCCTCAGCCTTTACGGTCATCCTGGGGAACGCCTCTGCCTCTCTCTTGTTTGGGGTCCCCTGCCTCCTGGTTCACATGACCTTACCTTTCTTTGTTGTCCCCCTCACAGTGGCTGTTTACTTCTAGTAGCTTTCTGTAAAAAGGGTGCGCGGGAGGCAAATTTGAGACCTTGCATATTTGAAAATATTTCTCTTTGCAGTTTTATGTCTTTCAAGAATTCCATTTTGAGATGCTGGTAGTGAGTCTTTTAGAGTAAAAAGTGAAAGTTAGCGGATATGGTTATTTACCATCTTAACCCTGAAATAGTAATTGTCTTTCTCCAACTGATTGTCTTTGCAGCTGGGGACTAAGTTCCTGGAGGGCAGGCCTATATCTGTTCTCAAAACCCGGCATATGGTCTGACTTTGTAACCAGAACATAAATCTTAAACCAAAAAGCCTTGATTGTAGTTTGGATATTTGAAATGCCAGAGTGAATTTTCCCTAGCTATTAGAACCTCAAGACTGCTAGGAATCCCTCTTTTGTTCTTTGTTTAATTTGAATTTGTTAATTGGACATCTATTCTGTGGTTACCTATCTGGCAGGCACTGTGTATCCAGTGGTGCAGAGCCGACAGCTTCTGTCCTCAATGTTTTACTGACACTAACAAAGTTTTCATTATATGTATCCTTGCAGCAGATGAGAAAATGTGGCTCAGAAAACTATTTTTTAGAGACATATCCTAAAATCTCTTGAAGTGACTGTTGTATTGTACTGTTGGCTGAGTTCATGGGTCTATCTTTTTCTTACAGGTGGTCACCATGGGCCTTTTCCGTATGCTCTCTTTGTTTTACCTTGGAAGCTTCGACAACATAATTCGTCGCTGCATGATAGAAAGAGCAAAATATGAAACTGCAGACAAAACTGCCTAAAACCTTGGGAAAAGAATATTTCTAAATAATGTGAGCAGCTTGCTGCTGGATGGGACCCAGTTGTTGGCCCACAGACACTTGGGTATTGCTTTGAATATGTCAGATGGGACCAGCGGACTTCGGCAACCTGGCTGCAAAGCGAGGGGGTAGAGGTTCAACTGCAGACAATATTATTAATACTATGCAAACATGGAATAGGAGAGCATCTGATCCCTGGGTGGAGAGGTGATGACGGTGTGGGACGTAATAGGTGCGAGCAGGGTTGTTAACCGGATTCCAGAGTGATCATTTACATTTTCTCTAGTTACTCTTTTCTTCCCCCATAGAGATCAAGTCCAGAAATCTACTTCATGACACATAAGATGTTGTGAGGACTTCTTAAACCTTCTGTGAGAGGCAGTTTATGGGTTTCTGGGGCTTTTTTTTCTCTTTTCTCTTTCATTTAGTGTATTTTATTCAAGATGAGTTTACGCGTTGCTGATGAATCCCTGGCTTACTGTGCTTCTTGCCAGTGGACCCCTGTGGATTCTCTCTCTGATCCTATGAAACTCCAAAGGGGATGGGAGAGGGCAGTGCAGGGAAGGGAAGGAGATGGGCATTTTCCAGTCAGAAAAAGAATGCTTTCTTGTCTTCTTTAGATTCAAACGCTTCGGGCACTTCTCATTTTTCACTCGTGGGGAAAGGCAGCCTCCTAAAATGTTTCTTGAAGAGAAATAAAATCTTAGAAGCCTAAATGTTTACAATTTTTTTCACTAGCCACGATGAGCTGAAGTTTCATTCCATTATAGTTTATTCTTCTCGTCTTTTCCTTCCCAATTTTGCTTCTACTACTCTAATATTTTTGTAAAAAAACACAAAAAACAACCCATTAAAAATTTCTGATTTGACCTTTTCAATTCATTCACAAACTAACGAAAACTAAGAAAAACAATGAAGCAGTGTGATGATGTTCTCGTGGTAGATAGTAGCTTTTAGGAAAGGCTGGCGTCACATATTTAAATTTCACTCATTAAGAAAAGAAAGTTGGACACCAAAGCCAATCTCGAAGATACTAGATTTTGAAGTAAAACGACTTCCCGTTGTTCCTGTGACCGTCGCAGCGACCCTGAGAACGTTCCCTTTGGAGCACGTGCTCGGGAAGCGCCGTGGTCACTGGAGCGGCTCAGCTCCGGAAACCTCGCCCTGCGCGCTGCGTCCAGACTGCGGGCCCTGCCGTTCATTTGGTGGATTTCCATAGCAAGTGCCTCTGGTGAGTCTTAGCCAGAGCCACCTGCTTCGTCCTGTCCTTGTGCTCCTTCGAGTAAGGACGGCCACCTTCATCACAACACGATGCCCCCTCCTTGCCGTCAGGATGCGTGTCTGGAGCACCTTCCAGCTCATCTGGGTGAGAACAGACCACTGCTTTCAAAGAGGAAAGTTGTTTTTTTTTATTGTTAAAAGAAACTCTACAAAAGATTAAAGACCAAAAAACCATAGCAAAGCCTTTTTTGCTCTTGAGCGTTTGAACCTCTTGACTTAATTTTTTAAAAGTAAGATGTTTGCCTGCCCGGCCAGAGTGGCTCAGCATCATCCCCAGCACCAAGAGGTTGCTGGTTCGGTCCCCAGTCGGGAGCATGCCTGGGTTGCAGGCTTGATGGGGGGCCTACAGAAGGCAATCGATCGCTGCTTCTCTCTCACATCAATGTCTCTCTCTCCCTCTCTCTCTAAGCATGACCTTGGGTGAGGATTTTTTTTTTTTTTAAGTTTAAAAAAAGTGAGATGTTTAATGGCTCTAATCCATGGGGTCTTATTAATCAAGATGTGAGAATGGCACATTAAACACTATCAAAGACAAAGAAATTACTATTTAATGTTTAAGTTGCTTGGGATGATTTCAGTGCAGTTGATGGGGGTGGGTTGATGCCCTCATGGGGTCATGAATCTTTCAGTCTTAGGTCGCCATTGTCTGCAAACTCTGCGGAGTCATATTGTGCAGACTCTAAAGTCGAGTAAGAGCTGTATTTTCCTAATTTGAAGAAAACAGTTACATTTCATATCTGGATTTTTCTCAATTTTATTCTTTTCTCATCAGTGTTCCTCACATGTTGGCATCTTCTGCTGGTCTCTATGGAAATCTAGTCCAAGACGGTGTCTCATTTAATAAAAGTAATTAACAGTAGTTATTTCAATATTTATTTCTCAAAGTGTCCTCATAGATGGTCCTGTGACTGCAGGTGATCTGCTGCCTGGACCCCTGGTCTGTGGTGGGAGATGATGTCCCCAACCCGTAGCTGATGCTGAGGCATGAGAGCAGATTTGTGGAGATCACGATGTCAGGGAATGGGCTTGTCAGAGACGTCACAGATCCACAGTCCCTTATCCAAAAAGCTTTGCGAACTAAGGTGCTTTTTTTTTTTCTATCTAAATTTGGTGCCATAATTCACTTGATAGGAAAACCTGACATAAACTGACGTGAAATTATTATAATTTTTATTCATACCACTTCATGGACGTCATTCATTTCACCTGAAGAACTACCATTGGGTTTGATTATGGGGATTGCCCCAGATTCTGTGGAAGTGTTTCGTCACATCCAGTATATGCCCCATACTACCTGTTCAAAATGCAAAGAATTGTGAATTCTGAAACGCACCTGGCCTGAAGGATTTTGGATAAAGGGATTATAGACATTTAAGCAGCAGCATGCAAAAATCTGACTTCAGCAAAAAAATGAAAATGTCACAAGGCAAATTCTATTTTTTATGTTTTTGGCTCATTTCTTGTACAACTTTTTTACATTGCCCTTTTTCTTGGGGGAAGAAAAGAAAAAGCCCTGAGTCAGATTATTAGGGAAATTATTGGCTTTTTAAAATTTTTTTTAAGGGATCACATTGATCCAGTGCTTTCTGTCATATTAGAAGTGGATCAGTCTTCCCTATGGCGGGAATTTAATTATAATTCTGTTGAAATGGTGGTTCTCTGACCAGCAGCAGCTCATTTATGCAAGTTTAGTTCTGAAGAGCCTGCCGCTGCTAGGTTGGTTGTACTGCTTTATTATAACATATTTGTGAGTCTATGTATTTTAAAATGTTTAATGCCACTCAGCCAGAGAAATTCTGAAATGTTGGGACCCTTTGTAGTTGAAAAAGGTATAAAAAATACTTTTTTTTTCTTCACTAAAACAGAGTCAAGGGAATTGTTTTTTCCTACATTTTTTAAATTTAATTTTCACAGCTGAAAAAGCATTTTTTCTCTTAATGTTAGCCTCTGTGCATTAATAACTGGTGTTGAGTTGTAGTCTTTATTTGGTTATGTTAAACCATATATTGAAAGGTAATACTGAGAGACTCTTTCCAACATTTAGATGACAAAGTATTTTGGTAATAGTTGCTTCCATTCCAAGAATTGTATGTCATTGTCTTTCTAGAAGAAGGCAATGCTATAATAATTTTTTTTTAACTGAACTATATCATCAACAGACTTAATTTTATTGTATCATATTCTAATTTAAACTTGTCTTTACTCACTCGACACTTAGATACTCATACTTTCAGACTCAAGATGCTTTGTCTCATTTCTTTTAATTCTTAGTAACTCAGTTTTTAAAACTTCCTACTAATTATAACCTTCCGTTTTTCTGGACTAAATCTCATTTAGTTCATTCCAGTGATGGCAGATTTGCTATTTTGAGGAGGCGATAATAGGTATTTTACATTTGCTTGATGTCACAACTCTAAAAACATTTTTATTTTTTTAATTTATTTTATTTTTTAATCCTCACCTGAGGATATATTTTTATTGATTTTAGAGAGAGAGGGAAGGGAGAGAGGGAGAGAGAACCATCCATCAGTTGCCTCCTGCACACACCCCGACTGGGGATTGAACCCCCAATCTTTTGGTGCACAGGACGATGCTCCAGCCGAGCCCCCTGGCCAGGACTCTAAACACCCATGAGAGTGCACATGGATATTTTGATATACCTGAGAACTTGGGTTTGCTACTTTGAAAGCTTTTGCAGCAGAATTGTAGCCTAATTTTCATACCTTGTATTTCTGAATCTCAACAAAAAATAAATGGGGAATAAGCTTTGCAGATTTGAAAACTTACTTTTCTAGAAATTTGCATTTATGAAGATACACTTAAGCAAAACATGGCCTCTTCCATAACCTTGCATCTTAAACACTTGACAAGGCTTGATTTTTATCATTTTTAGATGGTGATTTTTCAACATACTTGATAAAATGAACTCTTGTTTCAAATAAGTTGTGTTTTTGTGACTCTGATGTGGGATATATGCGTAAAACCAAAAGAAAGGTGGAATTTAGTAAAATTTCTTAAGTAATTATGTTTCATATACAAATAAGTTGATTTCCCATACTTTAAACCTTCATATTCTAATAATGAAATATTTCCTAGATCTTGAAGGGCATAAAATACTAATGCGTAAAAGAACACGCCTTGGTATTTCTCAGTCCTTCAATAAAAAATTTTAAGTCACATTGGGGAGAGATTCCTTGGACATCTTGGTTTGCAAACTCCACCTTTCTTTAAATTTTAGCAATTGATATACATAAATGGCATATGATATCACTTCTAAAGCTTTTATTTTCAGACCTTTGAAAAGAAAAAATATTTCTTCTGTTCCACTTCTGATTTTGTAACTTCCATTTTCTCTCATTCGACATATATTTGTTGAGTGCCCATGATGAGCTCAGTATCCAGGCACCGGGCACATAACTCTGCGCAAACAACATGTCCCCCCACCTTGGTGATTACATTTCTTGCTGCTTCCCCCCCCATCATCCCTCTGAGGGCTCTTACAAGTCTTCTTGGAGAAAGGACCACTCCTCATTCCTTTCTTTGGCTTGGCGCCTCTGAATTTTATGCCACAAGTATTTGAATGCCAGGCACTATTCTAGGCTTGGAATGCTCAAAGGAAAATATGGTCCCTGCTTGCAAATGGTTTATAATCTAGAGAAAAAAAGTATGTCAGAAATTAGGACTGGCTCCCACACTAGCTATGATGAAGATGTAAGTAATTAAAGTTGAAAACATAACCAGTACCAGTCACTGTTGTGAGCGCTTCACGTTGAACTCATTTAAATCATACTCTAACCTTCTGAGTACACAGTCCGTCCCCCCCCATTATTTGAGGGGGATATGTTCCAAGACTCCCATGGGATGCCTGAAACTGCAGACAGTACTGTACCCTATAGATACTATGGTTTTCCTGAGTTGAAGTTATAAATTAGGCACAGTAAGAGATTAACAATAGTAATAAAATAGAAGAATTATAATTATGCTGCTATAAAAGTTATGTGAGTGTGGCATTATTAAATAATACTAGGGTGACTTGAACACAAGCACTGCGACACCAGGACCATTGATGTGATAACTGAGACGTCTGCTAAGTAAATAATGGGTGTGGCATACCCACTGTGTGGACAAAGGGATGATTCACCTCCCCGGTGGAACAGAGTGGGATGGTGAGAGATTTCATCACAATACTCAGAACAGTGTGCAATTTAAAACTTAGGAATAGCTTACTTCTGGAATTTTCCATTTAATATTTTTGGACCTCAGTTAACTGTGGGTAAGTGGGGGAGTGTCGACTGTAGTGCCATTTATATCCCCATGTTACAAACCAGGGCACAGGAACTCGCCCAAGGTCCACCTACTAAGTGCTAGAGAGGATCCAGATCCCAGCTTTCTGACTTCTAAACTCCCAGCCTCTGTACTAAATCTCTTCTAGTGGCACAAGTGAAATCCTAGGACTGCCCAGGAAAGTCAGGGATGGTCTCACAGGGGAGATGAAACTTGAACAAGTATGAATTCGCCATGAGAAGCTTGGGTGCATTTCAGGGTGACAAGCAGGTGTGCAGAGGTAAAAGATGTGAGAGATCTTGGCATATTCCAGAAAGCACACGAAACTAATACAGCTGCAAGAAGAAAAGTGGAAGGGTGCCCAGGTGGTGGGCTTGGGCCACATCATACCAAGCAAAGGAGTTGAGATTTTAGTCTCTGACAAACTTTGAGCAGAAATGTGAAATGGCCAGATTTCAGCTTTAGAAAGATCCTGGTTCCCCTTGAAATTCAGGGGTTGCTGAGTCCATAGGCCTTGGAATAAACAGTCATTTGTTTGAAAGGTATCACGTTAGATGCGTATTATGGGTTCAGTCGTGTGCCCTCAAAACAAGTTGATGTCCTAACCCCCAGTACCTCACAAGATGGTCTTATTTGGAAACAGAGTCTTTACAGAAAGAACCAAGTTATGGCGAGCTTAGTAGGGTCCTAAACCAGTATGACTGATGACCTTACGATAGGAGAAAACAGACAATGCAGAATGCCATGTGACCACGGAGGCAGAGACGAGTGATGCCGCTACAAGCCGAGGGCTGCCAGCCACCACCAGAAGCTGAGAGGCAAGGAAGGCTTTTCCCCTGGAGCCTTCAGAGGCAGCGTGGCCCTGCTCACGCCTTGATTTTGGATTTCAAGCCTCCAGAACTGTGGGAGAAAACACTTCTGGTTTAAGCCCCCCAGTTTGGAGTATTTTGTCATGCCAGCAATAGGAATCAAACATATTACTCTTGATATTTCTACACGTGTTCATCAGGAATTAATACCTGGGAGATACTGTGCTCTGTGCTAACTAGCATAAGAGAACAAAAGTTTTTGCACATTAAGAATGTCAGTTCTTTGTCTCAACCCCCTCAATACCTTGGTGGTTCATGTTGTTTGGTTCTATGAGTGCAGTTTCAATCCAGTGAGAGCAGTAGGCATTTGAAAAATACAGGTTTCTCTTCTTCTTTTATTTCACCTTAAAAGCAAAGTCATTAATTTGAAAGGAAAAAATTACCGCAGGTGAATTTCCTGTGCTTTCCTTTGTAAACCAAAAGTAAACGTTATTTGCCCGCTATGAAACTTGCATAAAGAATGATTGATCTGCTGTTCATTGCCTAGTTTTAAAGGTTGTTGCTTAATTGCTCTAAACATTTTTGAGGATTAGGAGCCATCATAAATTAGTCAGGTGGGTTTCTGAGTTAAACCAAGGCTTGTTGGTTTAGATTTGACAAGAGTTTTCTGAGGATGACAAGGATGGTTTGAGAGCATGGAGCGGATGACTCAGGTGTGATCACTCTCATAGCAGAAGACACTCTGGAGCATAAGTGAATTGGGAACAGTATTACTCTTAGTATTTATATTAGTAACTAATTAGTAACATTATTACATAATGTTTGCCAACAGAGTATACGAACTATCTGAAAGGGTGTGCCACTATTTAGCATAAGAGTTTATAATGTATAAGATACTTATGCCAACTATATCTCAATAAAGCTGGAAACAGTAATTTAGAAGATACTTGAAATCGGAAATTAGTACTTTGGATTGTTTATCCAGGTCTGTGAAATGTCATTTTTCAAGCAGTTCATTTTTTCTTTTGTGAAGACTAAAGGGACTACTTGATTTTACTCTCTCTAGTCAGCTTGTTTTGTGTGTGGATTTATTTCCACTTCAATTTACCTAAGTGGTTTGAGGTCATGTTTTATATTTTTAACTCTCTCATCTTACCTATTAGTTATCAATTTCCTCTGTGAATCTGTGAATGGTGTCTTTCTATCCTCATTTTAAATAAAAAGTTTAATAGTTGGGAAAATTTTATGCATACCTATATTAAACATTAGTATAGTATGCCCAGATTAGACTAATATTCTTTTCGAATTTCATAAACTTTGGAAATATTTATGTTGGTGATGATGAGAACTTTCTGAATGATATTGCTAAACATCAACCAGTAGGTGGCGAAAACTGGCAATAAAAAACTTTTTGTTTGGCAGACTGGAGAATAAAGAAGGAAAACACAGGCCTTTCCGACTCTGCATGCAGTCTCCACTCCCTGGGTCTTGGTCTTTTCTCTTCCTGGTGCTCCCCTCGTCCTAGAATCCAGCCAGGCAGAGCTGGCAAAGGCTTGTCCATTGGCTCCTAAAAGTGGAAGACAGCCCTAGCCAGTTTGGCTCAGTGGTGAGAGCACTGGCCCGAGGACTGAATGGTCCTGGGTTTGATTTTGGCCAAGGGCACATACCTTGGTTGCAGGCTCAGCCCCAGTTGGGACATGTGAGGGAGGCAACCAATCAGTGTGTCTCTCACATCGATGTTTTTCTCTCTCTCTCTCTCTCTCTCTCTCTCTGTCTCTCTCTGTCTCTCTGAAAAGCAATGGACAAAAATATCCTTGGGTGAGGATTTAAAAAAACAAAGTGGAAGACATCTTAGGAAATGAAAAGTGCGTAGCAGAAACATTTGGAGGTTGTTGGAAGGTCTCTGTCACAGATCTGAGGTTAAAACCCAGGACTCCTGACTCAGGCCAATGCTGCGTCTGCCACCTCATCAGTGCCCAGAGACAGTTCATGCACACACTTCTAAGGAATACGTGACCTCTTTAAAGGAGTCTAAGACGTGGAATCCAAATGGAGGAAGGGTTTCCCTCTTTCCATTCAAAGTCCCAGGGAATATCATCCTTAGCCAAGCAGCTCACGCAGATCTGTCCTGAGAATGTTAGAGGATGGTCAATACGCCACGTAAGGAATGGGCCTGGGACATCCGTAAAGCGGGGCTCTATGCAGCAAAGGAGGGGAGGGATACGGAAGCTTTTCGTTCTCTGGGAATGGGGTTATGTTTCGTTCTGGCTGCCCCTTTGCAGAAGTACAATCTCTTTTCCAGCTCTGTCCTCTCATTTCCTCACTCACAGGCTGGGTCTCACAAGCACCGAGGCTTTCAATTCCTCTTAAGTAGCTTTGGAGGTTCATGACAAGGCTCTGAGAAGATCCCCAAACCAGAATGCTGTGGCATTAGGCGGGTTTCTACTAATTCTGTGGGAACATATTATCTCGGGTCAATCTATACCCAGCGTCCACCTCCAGGCCAGAACGCCTCCTGTCACTGCCATGGGTCAATGGGGACTCTGTCACAGCCATCGGAAGAGAGGGCAGAGCATCTCCCTTCCTTCCCTCTTGCCTGGACAAGAAGTTTGGACCAGGCACCCATTCCCACATGCAAGAGGTTGGCAGGGGGGCTGACTGGGAATGATAAAGAAAGGAACATAATTTTCTGTGCTTATTTTACGAATAAATGCTTTGATTTTAGACACGGAGCAAGACAAAGATAGCGTCTCAACAAATTCGTACAAAGTGCAGCGCTCATTTGTCATGTTTCTATGACCACAATAATCCAGTGTCCCTATATATTTGTACTTGGGCCCTAATACGTAAGCTGCTATGCTTTTAGTAAACATTTTTTCTCTCCGGGCTTTATTCGTCAAAGACTCTTAGAGATAAAAATAGTGAAGCTCCTGCAACTTGATTGCCGACTTGGGCTTTTCTCCAAGGGGCTATTCATGCTGATGAATTAAGAAATGTGTGTGCTTGTGTGTGCTNAAGGGGCTATTCATGCTGATGAATTAAGAAATGTGTGTGCCTATATGTGTGTGTGGCTAACTTGAGAAGGTGTGGCCATCTGGGATAGGCTGCTAGGCGACCGTGGAGGCCTTTGGAAACCCACCCACCCCGGTGTTGGGGCTGCGGGCCTGAAAGTCACCATGTAGACCTCAGAGCCCAGCCCTAACCCGGGGCCCAATGTGTCAGGAGCTGAGCAAAAGCATTTAGGGAACCATTCAAAGCCCCTCGTTCCCCCCGCTGGCCCCCCGAGAGCCCCCTCTGGCCTGGGTCGGGGATGGTGTCCGCAGAGTGTGTGCTCTGCCTGGACACCTAGGAAGCAACTTGAAAGTAAACAAGACGCTAATGAATGTGCGGCGACGTCTCCCTTTACCCGAGGGGAGCGCTGAGGTCCCTGGGCTCGAGGTCAGGTCGGCCTCGGCGGCCGGGCGCTGGTAACACGAA